ATTATGTAGAATCTATAAAAAAAATAATGCAGTGATCTGATTCATAATGCAGGTTTTTTATTAGTAACATAATTAGTGATTAATTTCGTAAAATGAATAAATATATGCCAAATAATAATAAAAGCTAAAAAGTTTCTAATGAAATTTAATACACAATAAATTAAAACTAAATTTAAAGTTATTTGTGAAATTTAAGCATATATTATTATGTAAATTTTTTTAGCAACGGTATTTATATTATGTGATAATTGAATAAATGATCGGCAAATGATCGACAACAGTATTGTGATAAAATAGGGATGTCCGCTATGCTTATGCCAGTTGGATTCCAACACCAAAAATTTTACATTTTCAAAAATTTTTCTACATATACGACTTATTTATTACAAATTTTGGAAGAAACAACGGACTTATTTATTTCTTAGACGCTTGAACTACTATTGCTGACTCTTGGTGGTATTGACTTGTATAATGAAACATCCAATTACGTATAGTCTCCAATTTTGGTACTTCTTCTTCTTCAATTACATCGTCTTCCACATTTTCTTTAGCTTAAAATATCAAATAATATAATCCTAAAATACTTACTTATTATTTATGACGGGTGGGCCTAATGAAATCGGAACCTCCCGAAACCCTTTAGGTTTAGGTATATACCGAAACTAAGTTTAGGAACATGCATTTATTTTCCGGATCCCGAATCCCGAATCCCGAATCTCGAATCTAACCCGAAACTCCCGAAACTTTTATATATCGAAATATAACCGAAACCTATTAGTTCACTATGCTTATTACACAAAATTATATTAATAAAATTATATTATTATGAATTAAAGTTACTTGTAACATAGTACTCTTTGTCTAATTCGTCTCCTTGCTAAAAAAAGCTCCAAATTGGCTTCCACCGGTACTACTTGCAGACTGTGTTTTTTTTGAATTTTATTATAAAATATCCGACATTTTATTATTTAAAAAAGAGTAAAAGACTTTTAATTTAAGTCTTAAAGAATAAGGTGATTATCAAACATCGATAGTGAGTTTCGGGAATTGGGATTGGAATAACCGAAATTTCGGGTTTCGGAATTTGTTTATGGTTTCGGGTGAGGTTTCGATTTGTATATTCCGAAACCAGAAACTTTCGGAAATCCTCCCAGAGGTTAGGTTTTGGGCCCCATGTTTAATTTATGCTACCAAAAAAAGAATTTATCTGTCAAACACAGCCAATCAAAGAGGTTAATTTAGTATAACTTCATTTCGTCCATAAAATATTTGCGTACCATTAAATCGATAACATAATTATATATGATTGATATCCTTTGTGCAAAAATCCTGAAATTAAGGAATATGATTCGAAAAGTAATGTAAACGTTGTTTGAAGCAGTTAAAAATTAATATTAAGTGATTTATGGATAAGCTTCATATTTATTTGCTTGACTTGGCGCAATATATAGTTTGACGTGCATCTCAAGGTATTACAATTAATAATATTAGTTTCATAATAATTTTTAACATGTGTACGAGATATTAAACAAACACCCTTGTCTTTAGGTTTCAGGAAAAAAAAAAGATTTATAAATTAAAAATAAATTACAGTAATATTATATTGACAATATATCTTAATCCCTTATGACTAATTTGAAATTTGTAACCGTATTCTTTTTAAAAAAAAATAAATAAAATAAAAATATTCACAAAAAGATTTGATATAAATTATTACTGGTTGTATTTGTTCGTTGTTAATCGTCATAAGGACCCCCCGAATAATGCTGAAAAAGGTAACAATTGAGTTTGTGTAGAATGGACCGAAATAATTTTGCAGATCTTTTCTTTTTTTTTTGCATAATGCCAGTCAGAGTTTTGTGACACCTTAAAATCATATACCGGAATTATGCTTCTCCGACCAGAATTAAGATGCACGGAGTTAATAGCAAAATTTCGCCGATCGCTTGTTACCTCTTTATGTATTGCTCGGGATCCTGTGTTATAAATAGAAAAAAATATGTTTGATTTACATTACATTTTGTTACTAATTTGTAAAATTAAACAATTAAATTACTCAAAAGGGAACAATTCAAAAAATTCGTGAAACTTGTATCATTTATTCATTTATGGATACAATCCTTTCAGTATTACCAATAGTTTTTTTTTTTTATAAATTTAACGAAACCTTGTCACCTTGAAATTAATTTTTTTTAAAATTTTCGATTCACATCATACTTAGATTCTCAAAAAAAAAAAATGCCATTATTTGATGAAAATGTATGTAAATAAATTATGAAATTATGTTTTACCTTCTTATGTAAAGATTTTATTAAATTTTTTTTTTTTTTCTTAAAGAGCAATAAACTTATTATACACGGTATGAAAAAGTGGAAAGGTCGTCATAATCGCTTCGTAAAAATTAGTAAATTAGTCCCGAATTATACACCCAAACAAATTGCTTCTCAGTAGGTTTCGAGTTCTTTAAATTTGATTTTATTGTTTCTTGATTTTCGAGGAAAAAAAAAAAATATTTCTTTATTTACTAAATTAATTAAATTAAATTTAGCTGGAAGAATTATCTTGATCCTAATTGTAAGAAAAACTTTATATACATGCAATTTTCCTTTCTTTTCTTTTGATATTTTTCAAAATTTAATTTTCATACATTTTTCAATTTGATAAGTATGCCTTGATACTCTAGAGTACGAAGAAAAAAAATTTATTGCAGAATGGATTCGAAAATATCGAACTTCAAGTGGAGTCATCCACTGGAAATATGTGGTCAACGATTTAAAAATTCGATTTGGCAAGCGACATTCCGAAAACAAGGTCAAAAATTATTGGAACGCAAGAATAAAGAGAGAAAAAAAATTTAAAAATAAAGGACAAAAAGAGATAAAAGACGAAAATAATGAACAAGAACAAGGAAAAGAAATGTATACTGAAGGAAATGAACGTAAATTCATTTTCCATTTTGTTAGTTCCGAAGACTTTTTACCAAGACGTCCTTCAAAAATCACTATTGCATCCCTTTTAAATTTCGACAACTTGTGAGTCAACATAAATTTTTTGTATATAGTTTACTTTTTATTATATGATGTGTTTTTCTTTGCCTATTTGTTTATCGTGCCCTATTTATTTATCGTGGTATTTATTTATCGTGGTATTTATTTATCGTGGTATTTGTTTATCGTGGTATTTATTTATCGTGGTATTTATTTATCGTGCTATTTATTTATCGTGCTATTTATTTATCGTGCTATTTATTTATCGTGCTATTTGTTTATCGTGCATATATTCTAACGTACATCACTTACGTTATTTACTACGTTTTACGTTTATTACGTTTTTATATTAAGTTTTTATAGATATTTTCTTTCATTTCATTAGATGCATTTTGTATTATATAGATAGACTTTTATGATATTTATTAAGAACAAATAAAATTTTCGCTTTAAATCACGAGATAAAGAACCAGTTTTTATTGGTTGTGATCGATCGGCATAATTACCGGCTTAAAGTCAAATGCTGAAACACATTCGGAGATTAACTTAAGTGACGCAGTAGCAATAACATACTCAGATTCCCTTTTTTAAAATCATATTAGTCATTCTTATTTCTACTAGAAAATTTTGGTTATTCTTTTATTGGAACTTTTTTTTATATATATTTATTTACAATACTTTATGTTCTATTTATACTATTTATATACGTATCAAAAATATTTTTACAATATATAGTGTTCCAATATTGGTATTATTCAACCCCTAATTATAATAATTTTATTATATATATTGTTCCAATATTGGCATTATTCAACCCCGAATTATAATAATTCAATCGTTAAAAAAAGGCATTATTTAATACGACAATGACTTTTTTTTTTTTTAAAAAAAAATATTTAATGCTACACTAATTAGAGTCATTATCATATTTTGTAACATAAGAACTCTCAATATAAGAAAAAAAAAACAACTAAGTGAAATGTTTAATTTGCGTAAGGATTTTCCGGTTAAATTCCGACGGAAAAACAATATATTTTTTCTCCGAAACCAACCAAATTTCACTTTATAGTTATGCAAATAAATATAGTTATCCTTCGGATGATCTTAATTTGAAGGTAAAATAATTATTTATTGTATTTTAAACGATAGATTATCCAATAATTGGCTCATTTTTTTTTTTAAAAAAAAAATTTTTGACTATATAAATATTGTAATATATAAAGTAAAGGGATTTCCTATTAAATTTCCGGCAGGAAAATTTCATATTTCTTATCCGAACCAACCAAATTACACTTTATCGTTGTACAAACATTTACAAATATTTGACGATCAAGAACATTTAGAAAATATTTATTTGATTAATTTCGGATAAATTTGTGTTTTTCTAAACGATAATAATTGGTTCATCTGTTTTAGTCCGAAAATTATATATTGTGATTTACATTGAAGGAATTTCTAATTACAGACTTCTAATAAGCCCCGTTTATTTATTAATCAAAGGAATGCATGCACGTAGTATATCAGTCATGCCTGCATGACATAATCATCTGATTTTTTTAGTATAATGGTTAACATAATGACTCATTATTCGATTTATGTACACGATATAAGGTTTCGCTTCTAATGATATTGATTGTGTTTCATTTAACGAATTATAATGCAGAAAATAAAACACAGAGAATCCATTTTTGAAAAAAATGGATTATTTTGATAATTCGCCATCGATATGATCGATATGATAATCCAGATTTAGAGAATGCCGAATATGAATCGAAGAAAAAATATATATATATTTATATTGAAATATTATAGTTAAACCGAATTTTAGTGGTTTTTTTTTATATTACATCAGGGGAACTTTTTATTTTTGTAACACACACTTCTTTGTTTATTAAAAGTTTTCAAAACAAATTAATATATAATATATATAGAAAGAAAGAAATACGTAGCAATAATATCCTTTCTATCTAACAAAATTCGCTATTTTTTGAACTAACGTTGTGGCGTTATCTATTGTCCATTAAAATTAAACCATCAAGGATCTTTACTTTATACTGCGTTCTGAACAAAGAAAATGTAATGCAAACATTAAACGAATAGAAAGTCAAATAATCTAGAAACCCCCTAGCTAAGATTTACTATATTTGTATAAAAGATAGGATTTTTTAATTTTATTTTATTTAATTAAATTTGTTATAGCTTAAATTGAAATCATATGCCATATTAATTGATCAAATGAATCGTGTGCATCGGAAAAAATAAACAATTATATAGTATTGAATTGTTCCAACATTCCGAAAAATTATATAAAAAAAAAAAAGCGATGATTCGAAATTTCGAATATTATGAAATAGAATATCTTTTTTCAGTTCATTAAATTTAATTGAAATAATTCTTTTACCAGTCTTAAAATAAAGTGAAATAGAATGTACAGTATATTATTTTGTCATGACGTTCTAAGATATGTAACATACAAACTAGACTTTAAATGAATAAAGTCCGTGATAATAATATTTTTTTATTTCCCCTTACAATAAAATTCTCACACAAGAGTAAATTTAGAAAAGGCCTTCTAAATTGAATTCTATCATACGCAATCATTTGTGCGTCTTTAATGTTACAAATATTACACAATAATTCCATATTAGCTTTGCTAATAGCATGTTGGTTATAAATATAGTGAAATATCTAGGATTTTTTAAATCTTTTTAACTTTCAAAAAAAAAAGAATTTGTCAAAGAATAAGACTAACTTTATATTCCACTCACTTTCTTTTGCTCACCAACAACAGCATGCCGCAACGAAGTCAAAGAGCGAGAAAGAAAAAAATAACTTGCATATTTAATTTGAACGTACGTTACTAAAGCAAATTTGCATTAAATAATTGGATTCTAATTTCCTCTTTTAATTTTTTTTTTAGAGTGAGAGAATTATAATTGATTATATGGAGCGATGGGCTAGTCACGGAAGACAAAATCGTAATCCTTTTGTGGAATTGAGTAAAATCATTCCTCACAGTCCAAAGCAAATCTACCAGCAGTAAGTTCAAAAAATTTCTTTTTATTTTAAAAAAGAATTATAATTCTAATTTGTTGCCTACAAAATTTAGTTGGTGGAACAAGCTGGACCCGCGACGTAAGTAAATTATAATTATAATTATATCTTAAAATTCTTTTTATGAAAACTTTCGAATAACCTTTTTTTCTTTGCTTTAGTTTGTTTAGTCAGTAATGAACCTTTTTCGAATGAAGAAAAAGGATACATTTACAGTTGGGTTGAAGACTATCTCTCCTCTAATAAGAAAACCATCCCGTGGAAAACTTTACAGTCGAAAATGGAAGAAGAATTTAGAAGATTTCGATCTAGAAACGATATTAAAAATATTTGGTACTCCAGGGAGAGAAGATTGGCCAGACAAGCGGCAAACATTCTTGATCCTCTCCTTTTTGGAATGGACCAACCATTGCAAGAATCAAACTAACTAACCAGTATATCCAACTCCTATTGTTTTTTATTACTACTATTGCTTTTTTCCTAAAAAAAAGAAGAAATTTCTTTTCTTTCTTGCTTCAACATTTTTTTTTTTAACGTTCTTATTTTATACTATATATACACTTATATAAGTGTATTCCTTCAATTTCGTTTTTTGAATCTTTTATTGAGATGCTAGCCCTTTCAAACGTTTGTATTGTGGTATTGTGTATGAAATTAAAAAAAAATGTGTACATATACAGTATAATAAATAAACTCATACTTCAATAAGGAATATAAAATTATAACTAAAATCAATATTATATATACTGGTGATATCGTAATTGTAAAGATATTTTATCTTTTGCAAATATCTCTCTCCCTTTATACCTTGGCTTCCTTATTTTATACCTATAATAAACAAAATTATTATTAGAAAAAATTTAGCCTATATATATTGTATATAAAATGAGCTTAAAACCCTTTTTATTGTAACGATAAAATTACTGTACCAAGGTATGTACCATCCGCATAAGGATCTGTGCATGCTTCAAGTCTTTAGGTTAGAACCTTCCATAGTTGACTATGGTTCTGATCAATGTCTCGGACAATTTTGTCTAAATTCCACTAAATACAGACGATGCATGCTCACTAAGATATGAGGACACTTCGCCTGCATTTCATTTTCCCGGCGTCACTAAAAATTTCGTTATTACATAACCATAAGCTATGACGGTCACAGAACCGAATGATCGGATTAAAAATCAATATACTTGGCTCGCGAGCTGGCTCGAGCTGGCACGGATCGTCGGCTCGTGCGGAGCACTAGCCTATAATTAATGCATGATCAAAAACGTCAGAACGATAACACTTTTGTTGGATGAGGAGCTATATTGGTCAAAGGGACTTCGCATCGGCTCGTCCGAGCCGAGATTCAATACAGCTCGTTCGAGCTGGCTCACGAGCTATCAGCTGGCTCGCGATCTCTGAAACTAAGCAAAAATGATATTTGCTCATGTGATCATCAGCTAATCATTTCGCAAATTCTATAAAATCGTCCGGCTGGACATTTTCCATACTTTTCAGGACAAATTCCGAATTTTCTTTTTTTATAGGGTCGGCTTAGAGTTTGCTCGATACGAGCCAAGCTCGGCCATTATAATCGAGCCAAGCTGACTCGAATTTTTAGCTTGACCCGGCTCATGCGGAGCTTTAATTGTAGCATCATAAATAAGCTTTATTTAACTTTCTATAGATTTTATTTTATGCTATTTTTAATCCACTTTATAAGCTTTATTTAAACTTTCCTATAAAATATTCACTCACACCATATTTTTTTTTTACTCCACTTTATTATATCAAACATGTAGCCTAATAAAAATATTGGTCTATGAAAATCTGCATGACCCTATTGGGCCGAACGATAATGATTATTATTCCACCATTATTTCAGGGATTGTTATTTTAAAGAAGGCAATTGTAAAAAAAATGGTGATTATAGAGAGAGATATTAAGTTTGAATTAGAATCTTGGTATAAACAATGCAATCGTTTTTAAACCAACCAAAAAAGAAAATACATTTAAAATTATGTTATCCTTTAAGTGGTAAAATCTTGGCCAATCTTTTATTGGGAAAGTTTATTTTTAGTAAATCTCATGATAAACATGATTTTTTATAATTTCAGAAATAAATAAATCTGTCAGGATAAATTTTGCTTATTCCCCGAATTAAATTTGGGTAAATAAGATTATTAACTAAGCCATATTTATACGGTGTTACACCCCATAAAAACTCATTTGGGGTAGCAGAAATTTATCTGATTGCATTATTCCAATTCTAAATAAGATAAAACTATGGCGGTTCAAATTTTTAAATCAGCAAATCAGCAAATCATCAAATCAAATGTTATCAGTTAATCAACGAAGCGATCATTTTTAATTGAAAATCATTTTGACGCGATTACAGTAAATATTATCTGATATACTTTAATGAAATGATGCATTATCAGATAAAAAACATTAATAAGGGAAAAATTTTCACATTTTTTACTATTATTATTTACCAGTTTAATGAGTTTAAATGAAAAAAAATGGTCGACAATGATTTACATTCAAAATTGATCTGCACGTAAGCTATTATTATTATTTGTGTTCATTTAATGAAAGGGTAAAATGAGAAATAAATGATTGATGAATGTTCATTATGACGATTGTGACGATCACAATAAGATTATTGCATTATATTGCATTATAATGATCAGGTAAAAAAAAAAACTTATTATTACAATAAATAAAAAATGCATTGTTGTTTAAGTAAATTAAAATTTAAATTGTCTTAATCTGGATTTAAGGATAAATGATTTTATCACCCCCTTTACTTTTTTTTACCAATAAGTCAATAATACAAAGAGATTTTAAAGATTACAGTGACATTATTTATTGTAATGACAAATAAATAATCTATCTTTCATTACTAATAATAGATTGAAACTGATCGATTAAAACATCTTTATTTTATATATATATATATTTATATATTTATTTCTTATTTAAAAAGCGAGAGAATCTTCAAATAAAATTTGAGGAATTTTTCTCGGTCTACAAAAGTAAAATTGACAATCATATTCTATATTCTTTTTAAACTTGACAACCTTTAAAGTGCTGTAATCATGTGTCGTTCGAAAGCGGTTTATTTCACTGAGGAAGTATGTTAATAAATCTTAAAGATAAAACAATTATTTCTAATCTATTAATGAAATGATTTTGTCGTAGGACGATAATATGATCATTAAACTTATGAAAACTTATGGAAAATTCACTAATCGTTTCGTAATCATTAATGGATTAATGAATGAAAAGTTTACTAACAGTCAAATCTCCGAACGGTAAGAATAATTTATTGATTTTTTTTTTTTTTTTAAGAAAATAATAATAATAATATCTGCTTTTTATTTTATAGCTGGAGAAATTATCTTAACCCGGAATGTAAATAAATCTTTACTTTTAATACTTTTTATTTTTTAAAGAAATATTTTAATATATAGTAAATTTGTATTTATTTTAATTAGTATGCAAAGAAGACTTGGGTTATTACGAAAAAGTCATTATTGATGATAAAGTTCAAAAAATTCTCGTGACAAGCGTTAAAATCCGCTGGAGAGAAGTAATTCGTGAATTGCTTAGATTGTTCGGAAAACTTTATTCTGAGAATAAAATTAAAAATTATTGGAATTTGAAATACAGAAATAAAATGAAAAAAGATTTAAAAAATGACGCAAAGAAGGAAACGAAACCAAAATCTTGTTCGTCAAAATATTCGAAAGGTAAAAGTGAAGAATATAGATTTAAACCTTATTGAAGAGTGTAGTTTTAGTGATTTATTTTATTTTTTATCACCCTTGTTATCACAATATTACAAAGTAATATTGACGGAAATATTTTTGACTGGTTTCAAATTTTTGTAAATATTTTACTGAAAAAAAAAATAACAAAGAAAAAGTAATAATAATATAGTAATAATAAAATTTCCTAATTCTTGCTTTACAAGGGTAAAAAATTAACTCGTAAAAATCTTTGATTGTTTAATTACGCTTTATTAATAACAAACATTATTGTGTAAAAAATAAACTTTTCCAAATACATTCATTACTATACACTAGAGTAATATTATCATGCATATAATTGAAAATCAAAAAAACATTAAATGGTAAAATTAATCTTCAAAACAAATAATGACAAATCTTAAAAGTCAAATTTTTGGTATCACCGTCCTTTCAAATTGTTTTTGTACGACAGTAGATCTCCCAGCCATTATGAATAAAAAAAGGGGGAATATCTTAAATTTGCGCCCAAACTATAATTATAGCGTAACAATCGTAACATATAAAAGATGATATAATTTGATATAGACGCATTGTAATAATAAATGATAAGATGGTAAGATAAATAATTTTACGATCAACCTTATTATCACAATAATCACATTACACAGTTTGGTAGATCACACTCTATAAAAATAACCTGGATTTCTTCTAATCTATCACTTTTCTGTAAGCTTCTCAAGAATTTTAGAAGCTGAATACTTTCTACTTTGTAAACTTCAATAAATTCAATAAACAACAATATTTTGCTTCGCACAAGATAATCTTTTAATTAATCTAATATATTCAATGCCTTTTTTCGTCAACAAATCATTTCGACATCCAAAGAACCCATTAAATTTCTTACATCATTTTGAAGATCATGCGGCAAAAGGGGGACTTATTTAGTGGTGAAGTAAATATTACAAATTGAGTGTTATTATTAATATTATTACCGTACCATAGTTTACTGTTGTTATGCACACATATTTGTCGCCCAAAATCATAATTACTCTGGAACGAAACGAGGGTGGCAAAACACGGTATATTATAATTTATACTAAAGAAATGTTCTTTTAGGATAACAGACGTATCATTCTTCTTATGGAAGAATGGGGAAGCTATCATAATCGATTCGTACGGATTAGTAGAGAAATGCCGAATCATACTGCAAGACAAATCTCTGAGCAGTAAATAATTTTATTTTTTTTTTTTTGAAAACTCTTTTATTTTTTAAAAAAAAATCATTAATCTTATTTTTCATAAATTAATATAGTTGGAGAAATAGTCTCAATCCAGATTGTGCGTCGTAAATTTCAGTTATCCTTTAATATTTATTATTTTTGTTTTTTTTATCCATTAAACCAATTCTTTAATATATTACACATCATATGTTTCATTTTCTTTAATAATTAGTATGTCACGATCCTTTAAGCATTAATGAGAAAATTTTTATTACTGAACGAGTCCGTAAATGCCAAATGCGATCTACTACCATTCATTGGAAATATATAATTAATGGATTAGTAATAAGATTTGGCAAGCTTCGTTCTGAGAATAAAATCAAAAATTTTTTCAATTCTAGGCAAAGAAGGGAAAGAACGACGGAAAGAGCGTACCGTTCGGGTATTGATCATGATGGGCGTCCCTAAGTATACAAATATAATTAGTATAAGGAACAAGAAACCGGAAACTTATATGTCTGACGAAAGATCAAAATAATAATGAATAAAAATGTTTGTGCATTTTTTATTAATCTTTTGTTATTTTTCATTATTATTTTCTTTATTTTTCGTTATCATTTTTGTTATTTTTCATTATTATTTTCTTTATTTTCATTATTATGTTTTCGTTATTTTTTATTATTTTTTTTTGTTATTTTTATTATTATTTTCGTTATTTTTTTATTATTATGATTTTATTTTTATTATACTTTTTTTTTCATTGATCTCATATAAGTTTCCGATGTCCTTTTATTTTATTTATAGTTTTATTTTTATTTTTTCATTAGAAAAAATTTTTGCACTATTGAAATTTTAAAAGTAAAAAAATTTTATTTTATTAAATATTATAAACATTTTAATTTACTGTGAGATGCAATGATGTGTGATGTGCCAACCAGACGTCAAAATATTTCGCAATCTGACGCTAAAAATTTACAAAAAAGAAACTTTAATACGTATATATTATAATTAAAAAGAATTTTTTAAAATTTACCTAAGACGAACATTCGTTATCTTTATGTGAAAAACAGGAAGACACCAACGGAATTATGGTCATAATTAGAAGAAATACAAAAATCATTCTATTGAATTTAATGAAAAGTAATGATTATAAGAATCCAATAAGAACTTGCATGAAGAAATTGGTTTTATGCGCGATAGTTAAAGTCAATGATTAATAACAAAGGATAACGATATGAAATTGTTTATGAAGTTAATTATTTATTTTCGCGTGTAAAGTAAAGATGGCATAATAAATATATATATTTTTCAATTTGAAATTATGAATTTTCTAGAAATTATTTGAAAAAAAAAATACTGAAACCAGATTTTTTATAATAAAAAATGTAACACATAGAAAAATAAAAATAAGGTTAGTCATTATTGATGAATTATTGAGTTATTGACCAAAGTTTAATGATATCTAATAAGTAATTTGTCCGTGCGAATCTTGATTTGTTTCAGATAATAAGCCATTCTTTTTTTTTTTTATACCTTTTTTGTTTAAATTGGCGCATGTTTATTTACATGATATTTAAAGTGAATCGAATGAAGAAATTTTTTTTACAAGTTTGATATGCATTACATGCATTGATAAACTTTATTGAATGGTAATTTTAAAGTTAGTATCACTTAATAGATTTGAATGAAAAATGGTTTATCAATTACACCATGTTCCATTGTGTAATTATAGACCTTTTAATAATGAACCTAAATGTGATTATGATTTAATCGTCGATCTTAATGAATTTTGTGATCATTTACATTGGATGTAATACAATAGACCATTGTACTTTTAATTTTCCCAATAGAGGTTAAAGCATCTGAAATTAGGAAATTTTAAATGACAAATACTATCTATACATAGCAAACATGCGCTCGTGCGCCATCATCTATTTGCTTTACGTAATGTATTCTGACACTACATTTTTTAATATCATGCATGTTCAGTAAAATCTTATTCATCTCCCTATTTATTCTAAACTCACAATTTAAATTCCAATTATTTACAAGTTATTTTAAGCGTTCCATTTTTAAATTGGAAAGGTCATAAAATAATTTAGTACTTTGCGACACGTGTTATTGGATAAACAATTTCGGACCACTTAATCGGCATGAAGACTATTCTAAATATCCTTTTGTATTAAAATACCACATCAATGGTTTTGTATTACAGAACCATAAAGCCATTTGATTGATTCTAAGAACTTTAAATTTTTAAGATCATATCATAATTTTGAAATATATAGATTTTTTTTTCAGGCTAATCCAACAAATCACAAGTTTTTAATTTTTTTTTTTATTAAATAACAAATATTTACTCCATACCATCTTCTTATTTGTTTACGTTTAAAAAATTTTTCTTAAAAAAAAAAGAAAAAGAAATTTCTTAAAAAAATAAAACATTATTTGAACTACTATACGAAAATAATCGATCGTAAAAATGAGTAAAATTTCACAATCCAATAATAAAGTAAGTATTATTTATATAAGATTTTTTTTTAAGTAAAAAGATAAGAAATTGACTTATATTTTTCTTTCATGTAGGAAAATGTGTTTAACAGCGTATATCATAGGAAAGAGTATCGTAAGAAAATTAGCAAATCAGCGCCGAAATGTATATCAAGACAAATTTTTAATCGATGTGACAATAAAATAATAATTTTTTCTATTTCTGAATTTGAAATTGTTATTTCAATCAATTTCAGCTATAGAAATCAGTACTATCTGAATTGTATGTACCGTAAATTTATCTTCATTGTTTACATTTTCAAAAATAATTGTACCAACCCAAACCCTTTTTTATTTAATTATTTGATAGTAAATCATCATGATCCCTTTCGGAACTTCAATGAAAATGAATTGATTCATAAATCCCAGAAACATATATACCAAAACAATTCAAGTATTAATGTATCATATAGTTTGGTTGAAAATTATCGCCATGAAAATAATGTGTATTGTAAGTAATTCAAATTTATTTTAATAATAATTCCTTTTTAGTTTTCGTTAATTAATATCTCCGATCCTTTAGGTGAAAAAAATCAGCCTCGAAAACACCTTAATAAGAGGCGTCCTGAGGATAAAGTCAGGAATTCAAGTCAGAAAAAGAATTTAAGTAACTCAAGAAAAGTTGCATCCCAAAAATATCATGTAAAACAAGAACATCAGAAATTTAATCTTCTCCTTCCATCTTCTAACAATGTTCCTTCATATACTCCTAGCAGTCCGCCCCAAAGTTATCATATAAAACAAGAACATCAAGAATTCATTCTTCCCCTTCCATCTTCTGACAATGTTCCTTCATATACTCCTAGCAGTCCACCCCAAAATTATCATATAAAACAAGAACATCAAAAATTCATTCTTCCCCTTCCATCTTCTGATAATGTTCCTTTATATAGCCAAAATGGTTCTTCTTCAAGAATTCCTATTGAATCTCTTTTAAATGAGTTTAATTGTTTTCCAGGGATAGATGAAGTAGCTAAGGAATATTGTTCTACTGTTTAAATTCGCGTAAGTGATGTAAATACTATCTACCTTATTGATTGATTCACTAAGGAAGTTGTACATATAGAATCTAAAAATAGAAAATTGATAAAAATTCCCATACATGGATTTCGATTTAAAGAAATCTTAAATGTTTTGGTAACAATTCATACTAAAAAATATGAATAAAAAAGTAATTAAATAATTTACGAAAACTTGGAAGAGATTAATAAAATTCGTTCACTTCAAATGTATTAATGGATCCTTTTACAATCTTCATATACATGCGTACATCGTGATTCCAAAAACTACATATACTCTATGTATGTACTGTACTGTACGGTCAAAACCCGATGCTACACTGGTTTTGAGAAAAATTATTAGTTAATCGAAATAATGGTATGATATAATGTAAAACTTTATATATCGATATTTTATACTATAAAATATTTTATAGTTCTTCTTGAGTAAGTCGTGATGGTTTTGATAACCCAAACAGAGTTGATGCTTTTGCGCGTAACTCTTTTTCTTTGTTGGGAAAAATCTTGAGAAGTCTTTCTTTTTCCGTGTGATTGATACATTATTATTCATAATAGACGCGAAAATACCTTTCTTGATTTATTGATACTTTTTTAAATACACATTTTAAGAACAGTACAGGACTAACATGTGCATTAAGCAATATAAAAACAAACGTTAATGTAATGAGTCATATGATTTAATTTACCATGCATTACTAGTATAAAGGGGCAAAAAGAGGAGTATCAGTACAGGTTACATCGTGAAAACCATATATGATATCGGTACAACGAGGTTTTTTTATTATATGTGATAATGAAAATTTATCGGTATAGGAAATTATCGGTACATCGAGGTTTGACTGTATGTATCACATAAGTGCCATAACATAATCATTAATTAAATCATTTACGAAATCATTACGTATGTTATGACTTTTCTCGTCATGGGCGTGTAATTTAAACATCCTGTACGAAGATATCAGCCGTCAATATTATAAATATTATAGTGCACACGTTTGACAAATGGCAAATGACCACAAAAATTGCACTGCTCTATGTTTAGCTGCGGAGGAATGTTAGTTTATATGCACTCACTTCTATGTTTCAATTTTAATGCAAATACTGAGTTTCTTTCCTAATAAAATACCGACATCGTATTAAACTGCACGCCCTGCATTTTATGCAGGACTTTTCTCTTGGAGAAACAAATAGACTTTATTAAAGTATCTACATTTCATTGTTTCATTTTATTGTTTTCGTATAATTCGCATAATTCTTAAAAAAAAAAGTGTATTAATTATTACTACTAATAAATACGTAAAACATGACAGTCGTGATATGTTGCATAGTTGTACTTATGCGAGAATTAATATCCAGATATTGTACTTTGAGACCAACTTCTTATTTGATTCCATGTAGACACTTACCCGATACTAAAAAAGATAAACCTTACCGAATCAATTTATAAAAATTGACAAAATTTTTCATGAAAAGAGAGAAAATTACATTTTTAAAATATTTATTTTTTTTTTTTTCTTGTTTACTCACTGATTGGTACAAAATTCGATTTTTTGATGTTACTGTAAATACTTATTTTTTTTACTAATTATTATTTAATGATAACAGATAAAGACATTCATTTAATGCTATTTGATAAGATTACTGTCCTACAATAATATTATTTTTGTTTACATTTCATTGAATGAATTTACGACGTATTGTTTATTCATTATTAGTAAAAAAAAAAAAAAATTATTTTATCGTAAATGGTAATAAACAAAAAAAATTTTAATTTGAATAATTTGAAAATCTTCATTTTCAAATGTAAATTATAAAAGGAGTAGTACTAAATATAATCCGATTAATGATGTTCATAATCTCATTGATAAAATGGATATTATTCATTTACAACAATATTTGGATTTAAATCATCTCTTTGTATAATTGCCTTTTTTATAAATCTGCATGCAGTAAATCAATAGGTATGATCATCTTATTAAATGGTCGCTGATCACATTTGACGAACAAAAAATACGCCATCGTAAAATATACTGTCATTCTATTCTATTTTAGGATGTTCCATCTCCTTCGAAAGATAATAATATTAGAAAAAAAAAGAACAATGTATTTGCTTACATAATATCACTAAATTCAAATCACGGAGGATTATCGATCATCATTCAAAATAATAAATCTTATTTATTCAAATTCATAAATACAGTATTATGTTATGCATATAAAATGGCAACTCGTGTTCTCATTTTCAATGTTAAAAAAAATAATACAAATAAGGAGCTATATAAAAAAGTTTTTTCATATCTTAAAAAAGTGTCAATAATAAAAAAAAAAATCATTACTTTTTTCATAATTAAACAAAATTAAACATATTAGAAAACTTAATCTGTAATATTCATACTATTCTTACGTATTAAGAGTTTACTTATAAGTCTATATTATTACGAATCCATAAATCTCGTAACCTTAAATTAATTTCTTACTGTTATAGGAAAATCAAGATCGTTGTAAAAGGCGAAAAGAGTGACAAAGCGAGTGCCTAATTTATTTAGGCTTAGATAAGGTCTTCAGAAACGTGAAGTTTAATCAATTGGGAATCCGAAACTAAAAAAAAGGCGTATAAAGTTTTAATAATAGAATACAAAAATAATAATCATCTTATAAATAATTTTTTTTTTACCTTCCGGATCTTCGATTTGAATTCCTCTGGAGTTTCTTGGTTTAGGAAGATTGCTAAAACTCATAAGACGACTGGTATAAATTGCTCCAGGATGGAGTGTATCAGAAGGGAATCCTCGTGAAATGATTTTATCTGCATCTGAATTATCAGTATTAATAAATTCTTTATTAGAACTTAGTTTTTCGTGATCATCATGGAATCGCCAGTTTCTAATCACTTTGAGAATCTCTTTTGACGAAGGTCTTTTGCCCGGACTTGCATCAAGACATTGATTTACTAAATCAATATAACATTTTGGTGTTCCTCTAGAAACTCTTGGTCTTAAACCGTTACAAATCGCTAACGCGAGCTTTTCATCATGAGGTACGTTTCCATAAGGTGGTTTCCCAGTTGACATTTCTACCATGATAATCCCAAAGCTATAAATATCACTTGCAAAAGTATACGGTTTTTCATCCAAGACTTCTGGGGCTATATAAGGAAGTACTCCACTAACGTTTGAATTTAAATCATGTTTTGATGATTGTGCAAGTCCTAGATCCGTGATTTTTGCATAATAATCAAAATGAAGTATATTTCCACTATGTAAATCTTTATGAATATATTTTTTATTATGAATATAATCAAGGTTATCTATAACATTGTGTAATATTTCTAATCTCTTATACCATTCTAAAGTAGGAAAATTGATTTCGAGATATTTTCTTAAATTACCATTCGTCGCATACTCTAAAACCATAAAGAATTCTTCAGTTTCTGGATCCTTAGTTATTCCATAAAATTGTGTTATATATGAATTAGCGTAACTACATTCATTATGTATTTTCATCTATTAAATTAAATTATTATATATTTACATTAATTTTTAAAAAGCAAAACAATTTTTTTTTTTTTTTTAGAAAAAAAAAAAAATAATAAATTTACCTCGTTAATAAAAGCTTCCGTTGGACTTTTAAGTTTTTTAAGAGCAACTTTAACATGACCTCTTGAACCAGGTTCATCTGACCAAATAGCGGAATAAATTTTAGCAAATCCTCCTTCGCCAATCTTCTTAATATTTTTAAATTTATTATAAGGTATCCATTCTAAATTATCATCATAATTTTTTGTCTTATGTTGTACTTCAAGAATGAATTTGTCTATTTCATTTTTTCCACTTGACTCTCTTTGATCAGGACTACATTTATTACACCAACTTCTTCCAGTATTTGGTCTTCCACAATAGTTACAGCTACCGCAACTATCAATATGCTCTTCCAACTCTTTCAACCTTTCATTTTCCATCGCATATTTCGTAAGAAAAAAAATAGTAAATGTAAACTAAGAAAAGACAATAACATTTTCCTTAAATGACATGATATAGACAAAAAAAAAAAATTAATCCAAATTAATTATATATTGAATAACTTAAATTAGATTTCCTTCGGAATTAAGAAAAAAAGACAACACCACCATTTTTTTAAATGACATAATATAGATAAAAATCAAATTAAATTAATTATACACATTTAATATATACATTGAATATACTAAAATCAGACTTCCTTCGGATTGAGAATCCGACTATAATACGCATATCCATGTGTGACGCAGCTTAATATAAAATATACAATATGGAACCTTTGAAATAAAAAATTAAATAATAATATAAATTTCAATAATTTCATAAAAAAAAAATGCTTTTACAAATTTTATGGAATTATTAGTATATTACCCGCTGCTTACGGTATGTGACATTGTCAATCCAGCTTTATTTTTTTTTACAAATATAAAAATAAATAAAAAATAAATTATGCTAATAAAAATATGCTAATGTAATATGGGTTAAAAAAAAAAAAAAAATCCTTTTTTTTTATATTTATTTACTAGCGTGAGAACAAAGAACTTTTTCGACGCCCCTTAAAATGAAAGCAAAAAAAAGGATGCATGTGTTCATGTGTTTAAGGGGAACAATAGTAATTTACAATCATTGTTACACAGATACATATTATGCATATTATAAATCACAATTAATTACACAAAACAAATCATCATGCATATCTACTATTATTGTTTATTATTTAATCAATCCCAATACATTGGATTGAATTGTTTGGTTGAACAAATAAACAGGTTTGTGGAATCTCTTTCCTAAATATTAAAATTTCCGGCCTTATCCGACAAATAAATATTCATTATGTAAAGCTTCTCGTAACATATATTATGTCGAGGTGCTATATATATCCTCGCTTTTAAATATTCAATTCTTTTTTTTTTAAAAAAAATATTCCATCGTTATTTGATATGAGTGAATCGGGAGTATGTATTATTATTAATATTAATCTTATTTTTTTTAAGAAAGATTACTTTATTAAAGATATGGTTTTCTTTTACAGACAACAAAAAATAATAGTAATGTTCATGTTAGTGAGACGAAGCCAATTCATAATCGGTAATTGAAATATTTTGTTTTCGTTTCTTAAAAATAAAGACCTTTTAAACTTAATATATTTATTAATAAATCAATCTTAGCCAATCAAAAAGAAAAAGAAACACTTATACACGTCCAGGAAAGAATCCTACGAACCTTTTGCATTCAAATCAATCTTGTGATACAAATTGTTCAAATGAAATGAGTGATTTCCGGAATCTGATCTATCCGGAACTTATCCTCACTGTCCAGATAATGCAATACCTGACACATTACTCAGCCTTAACGAACATTATATACATTTTATACATTCAACGGACGTTTCTAGATGTATCGGGACATTCTTGCTGCAATTTCCAGGATACCTCTTTCTATGTAGAGTTTCTTAATTATTCGGTTAATAGTATAAAGTTAGAACGAACTTTTGCTTGCCGTATTTGTTGATCAAACAAGGCAAGCAATTGAGTTGGAATTAAAATCTAGATTTTATGATTATTCTGATTTTCAATGTACATAAACTTGTCAAATAGAAAATAATAATTCACATTTTTATCAATTTAAAAATTTTTATAATTTTTTAAACTCAAATAAATCGTAAAAATTAATTCAAATAAAAAAAATTAAAAACAATTTTTTCGAAAGAATAACAAAATTTAAATTGAAAATTCTTTAATGTTATTTAACGATCCTTCTTTTTTGAAATGATCATCGATGTGTAGTCAAATAATAAATATTTCTTCTTGTAGTCAAATTTTTTGAAATATTTCTTTTGTAAAATGATGAAAAGCACGCACATACAATACTTTTACTAAAATGATGTTTTACGAATTGGATTATGATCATTAAGAAAGTAAATTTTGCAATTAACTTCACCACGCAGCTTACCTCTCGTCCTCTCTACACAAGATGCTTTCAGAACAGTAACTGTGCCACTTATTGCGAATATCGATTAGTCATAAAAACTTTTATCAAGATGAATTTAATAGTCATTCTTAAATGTTTTAACCCGATAATTTAATTCAATGTAAAAGATGGGATGCATTTCTCTTACAAAGAAAAAGAATATTATTCATGTGAATATATTAGTTGTATAATGCGAGCCTGTTAGTTATTATGAGTTAAATATAATTCTCATCCCTATAAAAAACGTATCCACTTTTTTTATTGGGAATGGCCTTTTTATTGAAGAATGGTACCAACTGCAAATGTTGTACTTGACACTGTGGCAAGTTAAAACTAAGCAACTTACGTGCCTATGATAATTGTTTTCCTAGACGCTGCAAAGCGTCTAAAAATAAAACAAAAAAAAAGAAAAAAAAAGAAAAAAAGATAGTAGAGGACCAATAACAGAAAGGATATTGAGGAGAAATCGGCTTTCATAAAGGAGAGAGATAGGTTATTTACTTGACTACCTGGCTCTTATCATAGAAGTAATAAATTAGTATTTTTTTTTTTAAAAAAATAATACTAAAAACCACTCTCCTTTTTATTTTATAGAAATTTCTTTAGAAACATATCATCTGACTAAAGATCATTTGACTACTTGAAATAATTACAATAATTGAAAAGTTGGAAGAAAGAGGTTAAACGAGTACAACTCGCAGTGTCATCGAGTCACGACTCGGGTGCACGTGATCGGCAATGCTGGCCAGAACTATTGTAATGTCGGCCTGCATGTTAAATGGAAATCAATACATTTTGGCCCGCACTATGACATTGACTCGAGTCTAGACGTCATAGCTACAGCCGCAGCAGCACAGTATGATACAATTAATATAATCTTTTTTTTTTTCTTTTTATAATTTAAAAAAAGAAATAACCTTGTAAAATGGAAAAAAAAAATTGTTTTTATTAATGAGGTATGTTGAAATAATAAAATAATTAAAAAGAAAAAAAAACCTTTTTAAAAACAAAAACTGTTCTTTATGGTACCATAGAGCTAATGAAGAAATGTGGGCGTCCATATAATCCTTATTTAAAAATTCGTAAAGCCTCAATATACTTTTACAAGAAAATTTACTAATTATTATTACTCGATCCATATCGATTATTTGCCATAAATTTCTTGATGATAAAGAAAATCATTTATCATCTACCGTAGAGCGTATCCCCTTGAAAAATATCCCCTTTAAGTAGTGTCCTGGTACTATTAGGACCCCGAAATATATATGTAGAGGTCAGGTCCAGAAGTGGTCCAAAATACGCATTCTTTCAGGGCCGGAATTACGATAATTTCAGCCATTATCTAAATTAGGAAATATTATTTTGGCTGGGATCTGTCTCTTATACACATCTAGATGTGTATAAGAGGCTGGGATTATCCATAAAAGGAATGATCTACATGATTTTTTTGACTCATTATACGCAAACTCTGACCTGACCCTTTTATGTATATTTCGGGGTCCTGTACTATTCTTGATATTTTTGATTAGTACCCGGTGCTGATTTAAGCAAAATTTGATATTTGGCCAAAGTTATTCTTTGTACAGTACCCTGGGGGGCATTACTCAATTTAGGCTGACGTTCTTGAATAAGACCGAGGTACTGTACTAGAGCGCAGCGCTCTACGGTAATGGTTAAAAATATTCAAGAATCAATATATAATTTATTGGAAAGATTTAACTAATAAAAATTCAACACAACTTTTTAAAATTGCGCTCTGAAATACAATCAAAAATTTTTGGCAGTTTAAACCTATTTATTAAATTTAATACTTAATTATTACGCACTTTAACAAAAATAAATAAGTAAATTTGGCTAGGTTTATTATTATAAAGAGAATACATCCAAGAAACAACTTATTACAAATAGAAATAAATGAAGTTAATAATAGATATCGCTATAACTCTGCCTAACGAAATAAATCAAAAAGGTTATAACCCAAGTTCAAAAGAATAAAGAATAAAATATAAATATTTAATTTACTGAAAGATAAAGCAGTCTTTAGAGAAGGATTATTCTGATTTATACCAATTTGTATTTTGAATTTGTAATAAATCCACTTTGTTATAATTTCTTTTTGGATAATTTCCAATTGTTTTATTTTCAATTGTCTATAATCCAATAAAACTTGATGGACGTTTATCATGATATTTCTTATTTTTATTTCGCCCTGTTTGTTATAAACTTATAAACAATGAAGGATTAAGATATTTTTATGCTAATGACTAAAATAAATGATTTCTAATATTTTATAGTACTAATAACATATACTTAATTTCATGTAATATTCCATATACGGTAAAAATAATTTTGCTTGATTTTAACTTAACTGTTCATTATACAAAAAAAAAAAAAAATTCAATAAATTCCGATAATCGGCTTTTTTAAAAATCAAAACTTGGAATTCCAAATTTTAATACATTTTAACTGTATAACGTTTTTTTTTTATGATAGGAATCATAATTGAAATAGAATGAAATAAAAATTCTCTTATTAATAATACTAGTAATAAAAATAGAAAAAGCTTTTATGACATTTTAATAATAATTGCGCAGAATCGCTAATTCAATAAGATGTCACAAATTCATAATAGGAAAAGTTATTGATTTCCACGTGGTAAGGTATATCAATTAATTTGATTATTAATTGATCGTAACCATCGTAACTAGATGTATCAGGGTTTGACAATTTATATGAATATATCGTAATTATGATGACATTTACTCTGAGAGGGATAAAAATATTTTTATGGAATTAAATTGAAATCATAAATGTTTTTCATCCAAAAGATAAATAAATAAATAAAATGAGTAACAAGATCTAGAATCAAACTAACCAAAAATACAGAGATGCTTAAATATAATAATCTTTTAGGAGAAAGAAAAGAAATAGATAAGAAGTGAAACACTACAATATGGAAGAACCTAACTAGAGCTATGGCCTAAAACACCAGTCGGCAAACTCAAGGGATGCTATGGTCGGAGGTCAAGAGCATATGTTATGGCTTATCACATCTACAATCATGTCATCTTCAGTGACCAGATGTAGAAACCTAAACACCAAAAATTATGGGCGTTTTTACTAATAAAATTGCAAATGCACAAGAGAAATACTTCATTATAAAAGTTTACGGCTAACAGTTTTAGGTTAGCAATTTCATTATAAAGAACTGCAAAGATAAATACGGATTTATATATTGAAAAAAAATCAAAGGTTATATAGGCTAAAATTAAGTAATTATCACAATATTTTACTATTGAAATCATTGCTTGTAACTATTTATTATTCGATAATTTCTAACAAATTCGAGTTCATAACTAATCTATAAATCTATTTTTGGAGTTTCAATAGAAGTTATTTGCTTATCTTCAAAAAATAATAATGATGAATAATTTCATCCATCCAGAGATTTCCGAACTGGATAATCTGCCTTAAATCAATCCGAACCCGTGACAATAACTTCGGATATCCGGACGATATCTTTAGATAATTAGATAATTTAAATATTTAATACAAACAAATTTTTTTTTAAAAAAAAATTACTACAATGTTAATCATTATATTTTTATGCATGAATATTTGATAATAGAAGTTTATTATATTTCAAAAACAAATACAAGAAAAATATTATAATATTATAGTAATATCCTCTCATCTAAATAGAATAAATATTTTCATATAACTTTCACTAGAAAAATATAATATGCAAATAACTCTTAAAAAAAATTTAATGATCAATGAGATAATTTTTTAATTCAATTTGATACTTATTAAATTTTATCGAATCGATATTCTTGCATTTCTTATATTGGCATTTTTCATGAACAACACCCCAATTTTCATCCATCATTCTCAATTGTTCTTGTAATAATGATTGACTCATAAAATCGATGCTCATTAGAGTGAAATTTTTCAATTCATTACATGAAATTAATAAAGTTTTCAAGAAGCTTAAATCTTTTGTTATATTGATAATTGTAGATAATGAATTAAGTTTTGGACACGATTTTGCAATAGATTTTAACAATAATTGAGTGTGATCATAATGGTTTTGATTAGGATTCTTTATATAAAAACATTGTAAATGACCTTTCGTTTTTCCTATAAATTTAGCCAAAACATCTAAAGGCGGAAAATCATCTTGAAATTTTAATACTTCCAAGAGTGGACATAATCCATTATCGAATGCAGCAATAGTTTCAGGTTTCCATTTCCAGAGAGTAATTTCTAAATGTTTTAACTTTGAAAGAGTATTAAGTTGTCTGCATGGTAATATGAAACAATTCATACCAAGTTCTTCAATTGAATGTATTTGTATTAATAATTCTTCTGGAATTGGTCTTAATTGATAATAACGAATATTTCGAATGTTCCAATTCGAAAGGTCCAAAAAATGTATAGCTTTCAATTCTTTTTGATCTTTTAAAAAGTTAATTAATAATGAAGAACCAAACCATCTGTCTTGTGTATCATAGCCATGTAAATGAATTACGATCTTTTTAATTTTTTTGCAATCACGAAATATATTACCAAGATAATAAGGTTTACCAACTTCTAAGTAACAAATATTCGAAAGGTTTTTGAAAGAATTAGAATTATTTTGTATTATCATATTAGAAATGTTAAATAACGAAAACTGACTAATTTTTGTACAATTCCTAAAAATAATATTAAAAATATGATTTGTTAAAGTTGATGAAATCGAACTTTCATCATATTCATGATTAGGTTTTAATATCCACTTTTTTTCTTCTTCATCATAATATCTCTTAAGATTTTTGTATTTCCAAGGAGTTACACGAGAACATTTGTCAATAAATCCATGAAATTCGGCGGATTTAAAAATTTCCATATAGTCCAAATAATCCCGGATTGATTTCCTATATTTATGATAAGTAACCTTATAGTATTTAAATGAATTTAACTTTTCTTCCGTCCACTTATCAAAAGGAAACATCGAAATTATTGTTTTGAGTAATTTTTTTGAATTTGCTGCTCCATTACGATGAACAATTGAAAATGGATTCTCCCATAAATAAGGTATCAAAATTTTAAACCATGAACGATTGACTAGGATACAATTGAATAGCGTGCCTTGGTCAGATGATTCAAGATGTTCGAAAACATTTTGTAAACAATCGTAATTAAGTTTTGGAACCATTATGATTTTTTTTTTTAACAAAAAGCGAGGGTTGAAACAAATATTTTAATGTTTTTTGCCCAATTTGATTGTCAGTTGATCAATGTAATTCTTTCCAAAAAATAACTCTTCCTTGGGTTATGTTTGTTGTTTTTCTTTTCTTCTTTTTTTTTTTTATTTTCGTATTGAAGCCAATAAAAATTTAAAATTCCATTTNTCCATTACGATGAACAATTGAAAATGGATTCTCCCATAAATAAGGTATCAAAATTTTAAACCATGAACGATTGACTAGGATACAATTGAATAGCGTACTTTGATTAGACTCAAGACCTGTCTCTTATACACATCTAGATGTGTAAGTACTAATGGGGTAATTATTTCCCTTATGTAAATGAAACAAAATTTGGTATTATTAAACTCCTTAATATATACATTTATAGACAAAACCCGTTAATCTATGGCGTACCGTACAATTCAAAAGCAAATTGTAAAAACAACAAGTCACTTGTTATAAAACTTGTTGTTTTTCATGTCAATCAACACAACAAGTGACTCGTTATAAAAACAACGTCTCTTGTTGTTTTTCATGTCGATCATACCAGTTATGGAAATCAAATCCCATTTATAGCGTCTTAGGTTTAAAACATATCACGACTTTGATAATATCAAGTAATATGCAAAAAAATCATTAATTTTTTCTTTATAAGAGAATTTTTTAATAGGGAAGATTTTTTCTTGATAGATAATTTTGTTAGAAAATTTTTTAGCGGGGGTGATTTTTTTGTTGATAAAGTATTTCATTAAAGAATTATTTTTTAATAGGAGGGCTTTTTTTTTGATAAAGAATTTCTTTTGAGATTTTTTTTAATACCAGGTGAAAATATTTTTTGGTGGAGATAGATTATTTCGTTAGAAATTTTTTAACGGGGAGATTTTTTTTTTGATATAGAATTTCGGTAAAGAATTTTTTTTATATAAAGAAAATAATTATTATTTGTTATACTAATAGGAGGGAAGTTTTTTTGATATAGTAATCTTTTGAGAATTTTTTTAATAGGTAAGAATTTTTTTTTAATGGAGAATATGTTTTTTGATGGAGGATTTCTGTTAGAAATTTTTCTTTAATAGATGCCAATTTTGTTGGTTGAAAGGTTTTTTATAAGTGAGTCTTTTTTGATGGAGAATTTCGTTTAAAATCCGTCAATATTTATTGGAAAATTTTTATTAATGTAATTGATCTTAATTTATAGTTTCAGATTTTTTTTTGATTTTTTTTAATTTTTATTTTTATTTTATAATGCTATATTTTCTTTTTTTTTACTATCTTTAATTAACATAATTAATAGTATTCTTATTAGCATACTTTTTAAATTATAAATTTTATCTCTAACATCGCCTGGACAGCTAGTCACATGTCGAGGGAAACACGGTAAGATTCGGTATATCTCAGAATAAATAAAATAAAGACTACGCCACTCTGCTCCCGATATTTTTGAGCCTTACCAAGTTCTAACGAATACGTTAATACAGTATGTCAAGTATCCTTCGAACAACGTTGATTAGAATATCTCGCAATTTATAAGATTTACTGTAATGTGACCACGTCATTATTTATTATTGACGTTTTATTAAAATTCTGCGCCTTCGAAATTGATTTCATCGTTGATTTCTTCTAATTAATTTTCTTTTTAATGTCTATTGTTATTTAAACGGCCTTTTGACATAAATAATAAGGATAAAAAGTTCGAGATAAAGAGGAAAGAAAATCCATATTCAAACAGGTTACACAATTACGTAGAATTTTACAAAAGATTTAAAAATACATTAATAAAATCATTAAAAATAATGAATTGATAGTTTTGAGTAAACGGGAGTATCAATCAAGAGTATCGAATGGGGTTTTTACACGCGCTTTTTTATAAATTGCTTTATACGCGATCAAATGTATCATTAATTGCTGCGGATATTGGTTTTATGAAGGTCAGAATCTGATATAATAATGATGACACAACATATTAACGGAAATGATAGGGTGTGAAATGAACGGGCTGGTCGGTTGTGACCCGATGAAACGTCTCATTAAATAGTATTTTTTGCATTCTTATCAGGTGTACCAACTGGGAGCCTTCCCGGCCGGAATTATCGCATTAAGCAACCACTTACACACACTGGAGAAAGGTTCACGTGAATAATCATAATTTTGCCGCGTGACATACACGCATTGCAGTTCCGCAAAAGGTAATCCGTCGTTTATTAAATTTTCATTAATATCATTTCTATCGGTATGAAAGCATAAAACTACCAAAATTTGCTTCGTCTAATCAAGGTGAATTCAATAATGTATAAGGGCATAAAATATATGATTACCAGATGAAAAGGTATTCTATTATAATTTCAAATTTATTAATGAATTTTAGACTCGTAAACTTATTATGACAACGTGTAATTTTGCGACTGACCAGAAGTAACAGACGTAAGATTTTTTTAAATGCGACAGGATACGCAAAAATCAACTTAGTTATGGTTGTAATATTTATCTCCGGAGAAAGAAATATACCAATTTAGAATTAACAATGAGAAATATTAAAGCGATCAAAAAAAAAAAATGGTACTCGTGACAATAATATTATTATACGATTTACCTTGTCATTTAAAAAATGAAAATTCTAATACCATTTTTAAAATATATTGTCTTTCTATATAATGAAATTGTTTTTTGTGTATGTTGCATATTAAACTAGGAAGGGTTATGTTTTTTTATAGCCCGAAAAACAAATTCGTTGATCATTTTTGACAATTTTAACATTCGATCACGTTACTTTATTTTGATTTTTGACCAGAATTATAGAATTATCATTAATTATAGTTGATGGTCAAAAAGACTACAAAATTGATCAAATATACTAAATATACTGTTTATTTAATGAATTAATGTTATATATTTTAAAGTATAAGTTTATATATAGAGTGTACTGTAGGCGACTTAATAAAATAAATAGATAAATAAATAAAAAAAATGATTTGACAATATATAAAGTATCAAAAGTACAACGAAATAATATAATACTATATAAAAGTGTAATCTCTCAAAATATTACTTTTTTCAAGACGATTTAAACCAAGTATATAAGTATGATTCTTTAAATTTAATTTTTTTTAGTTTATAACCATATATTTCCGTAATTAAGTACCTGAACACGTTATGATGATTTGACCGGAATTATGATTACTTTGACCAGCATCATAATTAAAAAAAAGGGTGCTTAATTTTGGAAATATATGATATACCAGTGATATACCCTAATAAAATTTATCCTTAAATAACAAGGATAACTTTTATAGAAAATTTCTAAAGCTCACCAGCGGTGATTATCACCATACCAACATTAAGATGCACTTTTGGCCTGAATTAAAATTTAATAAAACACTGACCGGCATTACATCATAAATCCACCACCTGGTGACCGTCACCATTGGTGATATTTAGCAATACCCACTTTTATAATGCTTCTTAAAATCATGAATAATATTAAATATTCCCAAATAAGATACAACTTCTTTTCTTTTTATAAAAATTGATTCAATACATTACGACTCGACTTTATCTTTTCGTACAAAATTTATATATAATTGAAAGATTTTCTAATAAATTTCTTATTTTGTGGATAATGACTATAAACAGCAGAAAAACAAATGTAGATCATTATTCTAAAATAGAAATGATTGGCAAAGTTGTTTATCTTCGATAAAGATGAAATTTTAATTTTATTAAACAAAAAAAGAAAGTTTTAGGATAAAAAAATTTAATTCACGTTATATTTTTTCTTAATATAAGTATATTTATTAAAATAACATAGGAAATTATAAAGAAAGAAATAGAACGTATCAATATTAATAAGTAATATTGACTTTTTTATTACTTATGAAAATGGAAAATGTTTTATTACGAATGTTAAATTAATGATATATTATATGTAAGGACAAAATACCTCTTTTGTCCTCATAAATATAAAAATTCTCATTTACTTAAAAATTCATTTATTACTCTATTTTGATCCTTTTTTTAAAAAAACGTTGAAAATGGTTAGCAATTAACACTAAATTGTCACAAGAAAGAATATAAAAAAAAAAAATAAAAACTAAATATTAAAAAATATTTTTTTTTTTTTAAAAAAAAAATTAAATTAACTAAGTTAAATTATAAGTAATAATAACGACATTTTATGCAAGGCCGTATCGTAATTCATACTATTTTCGCCTGTTACTTAAAGGCCAATGAAAAATATTGTAATTGCGTATTATATAAATTTATTACGAAATTTAAATCGAAAAAAAAGCAGTAAATGCTTAATAAAAAAAAAGAGCTGGTAGGATCAGCTAAATTTTTACCGTTACTGGTAATTAATAATTTGGAAATTTTGCTCGAATTATCTAAAATTTAAATAAATTAAATTATTTTTTAAAAAAAAAAAAAATTTTGATTCAGGCCAGCGCTAAAGTTTTGGCAAGTGTTAGTATTGAAATTTTTTTCTGGCTTTCTACTTATAATATCGTATAAAATTTCATCGCAAAGATACTTTTATTTCTTCGTAATTATTTTTAGGCGTAGTAGCTGTCGATCAAATGTCATATAGAAAACATATTATTATTGACAGATTACGTTTAAACTTTAATTACTGTAAGAAAGTTATTCTTATAATTGTTCGTATTGTTTCATTCATGAACGAGGAAGATGTCAACTCTGCAAAAGATCGGTAAATAAGCATAGGCATAGAATTAAATTGACAGATAGGGGGAATAGGAAAATTATTATGAGCTGCATGGTAAAATTAAGTAAGAAGCGGTAAAGTTTATTAATACCTTTTTTTTTTCAGTCCACGTTTTGCGTTTGAGATTTTTGGAACATGTTTAGAACGTTTGAGGAACGTTTGAGAATAGAATATAAAATTATCCGATTTTTTTTTT